AATAATTTATATATGTAGATATTAATTCATAAATATTATTATTGTTATTATTTTTTAATTCTATGATTAATTCCTTCTCATAATATATAAAAATTAACCTATTTATATGAGAAGGGGAAAGAAGAAAATATTAGTTAATATTTAGAAAATAATAACAACAATAACAATTATAATATATTTACGGTAAGATTTTTGGTATCTAAAGAAGATATTATAAATTAATATAAAAATAATATAGATATATATGTGCATGTGTGCAATAATTTTAAAATTCATCATAAAAATATAATACAAACCTTGCACGAGCACCAACACCACCAAACTTTTTAGGTTCACAACGACGAGGATCAGATACCAACAAGCTTCTGTCATACTGAATCAAAGTATTTTTAATCTCTTTTTTTTGAGCCTCGTCAACATACTTTTGATAATATGCTACAATAGATTTTGCAATAGCTTGACGAATCGCATAGATTTGTGAGGTATGACCACCACCTTTTACACGTACTCTAATATCAACTTTAGCAAATTTATCTTGACCTAGGATTAGAATTGGTTCATAGACTTTGAATCTCAAAATTTCTGGTTCAACTAAATGTAATGGTGATCCATTGATCTTGATTAAACCTTTGCCGGCTTTACAATGTGCCACCGCAGTTGCAGTTCTCTAAAAACAAATGAAATGATGAAGGTAAATTAGAAATTTTATAATTTAATAAATTTTAATTAAATTATTTGATGTTGCTCTTGTCACTGTATCAATTATTATTACAAACCTTACGACCATAGGTTTGAACAGCTTGTACTTGTGCCATTTTCAAAAAAAAAAAACTAAATCAGAGAGATCTAGAATTAATAATGAACGAATATTTAGAACAATAAAGGATTAAATAATTAATAGAATAAACTAACTGAGATCAATGAATAAATAAAGTTCAATAATACATACCTTCTTTTATATTTAAAATGATGAAAAAAAGTTTTTTTTATAAATGTCACATGTCCAATTATAATCAAACTTCTGTGAAACAAACGGGAAAATTTTATCAGCTTAGATCGTAGACGAGAGTGAGAGTGTGGAGAGTATGTTGATGACGAAGCATACGAAAAATTCTAAAATGAGGAGCTTGGTCTGTTTCAACCAATCTACTAATCTACCTCTGTGCTGGAAACCATTAAATTGCTCACATGTAAGAGAGCAAAAAAGGTTCTATGTGGAATATTTAATAGCGTGAGTAACTTCCAATTGGCATTTGAAGGCATGGAAAGTTATTGAAAATGTACTCTATGATTTTGGTAAAAAATGCAGTCATTTGCATCATCCTGATTCCAGTTTTAATGGAAAAAATTCTGATTTAAAAATTAAAAATTAAAATTATATAAATATGTAAATGAACTTAAATAGACTTTAGTATATAAGATATTGCATAACAATGAAATTTATATTAGAATAGTCATCTTTTAGAGTAATATCAGAATATATAGATTCTGCTTTAAATAATTTATATATACAGACTCACATGCAAAAAGGAACACATTTCTTTGAATGAATCAGATTAGTCTTGATTTAGGATCTAGAAACACAGCTATTTCATAAAAGAAAATTCATAATTTATGTCAGAATGTTAGATATGGATTGATAGGTTTATTGGTTGATACGATTATATTGTTTAATGACACATAAACATTTGAAACTACAACATTGCACATAATAATAAGAAATTTATATTAGAATGAAATTCATTTGAACTCTGAAATTTTTGGTAGTATAGTGAGTCACATTAACACATTAAATAAAAATTGATCAACTTTAAAGCTAGATAGGTGTTTTTATATGTTACATATAAAATTTTCTCAACAATAGGTTCTAGAACGAGTCAATAGCTATCAATATCATCTCTAATTTTTTTTTAGACAAGCATAATATTTCTCTATTTTAGATTTAAAGTTATTTGATGTGTTAGGGTAACCCGCACCATACAAATTAAAATGTTCATTTTATTGCAGTATGCCCCAAATGTGCATCATTGTGCTCTGTCACTCACAATTATTAAGAAATCAAACATTTGCTGTATGATAAATAAAATGTAGATCACGCCAAATATAAGAAACAACAGTATCATTTTCGTCAATCCAAGTAAAAGTAATAAAATTCTACAAGATCTTTACGTGTTTAAATAATTTTCATATTGTTACACGAAAGAATTTGTTCAATAAACGCGGTTATTGTATGAAGAATATTAATATTAATTAATTCCTTTAACTAATTTTTCTAAATTTGTAGAATGAATCAATTTCCTGTCAAAATCAAAATTTTTGACCAGTGAATACTAGATGCGTTTGTCACAGTACAAATATCTAAGTGAGCGAGCTACCAACTTTAAATTCTCGATTATAATTAATTGGTTTGTGAAATTATTTTCTACAATCATTGCACATAAGCCCCACTTTTCCCTCCGTTTTGTTTATTTATACATAATTATAATTATTATTTATGCCTAAAAAGCATTAGACATTATTATATACTTCAAATTATACACACATATATAACATTCATTTGTTTTTATTAATTACATTAATAAAATGTTTATCACACAAACTAATTTATTTATTTACATTTTCACCACGTTCTCCAAGGACATACTTCAACCAATGTTTCAAATCCGTCAATTGATTCAAATTCCTAAAAGTTTTGGGATGCGACAAGCAGAAAGGGATCTGCATTTGACTAGAGTGTTTTTACAACTTTAAAGGAAAGTCTATTAAGCTAAGTGGGTATGGTTTCTAAGTTAACAATGTTCACCGAGGCAGATTTCATATAGGCGTGACTTTAACTCAAAATCAATAAAGTACCAATGGGTTCCTTTCTGCTTGTTGCACCCCATTTGCGAGAAATTCCCCAACTATATATTAATATATAAAAAAATCTTTTTCATCCTTAGAAAATATTAGCCTATATTCTTTAACGGTCCAATGAAAAGTACAGGGGACAGGGATCTGCAAAATTCGCCTGTCCCCTGTGCTTTTCATTGGGTCGCGTGGTCGATCGATCAACAATCTTTTTTAAAAAAATTTTTATAAAAAAATGCCTAAAGAACAAAATAAACGAAAACAACAAGACAGCCGAGAGAATGGTGGTGGTTATCGCCACCACTCGTCACTCTAGTTCAATTAATTAACATTCATTTTTTTAAAAAAATAATCCAACCAAGAACAAAGGAAATTAAAAAAAGAAATCAAAAGGGAGGAGAACAACCTGCCCTTAAAGATATTACCAATCAAGGCAATTCAAAAAAAAAAAGAAAAAAAAGATCACAGTTCAATGAAATAAATGATATTGAAATCAGTTCATTAATTGAAAACTTAAATCAGGAATCAACTCAAGAATGGATAGTTGATGGTACAATCAATATTTCGCAAAGATTTAGAAATTATCAGGAATTGGTTATTAAAAAATTTAAAAAAAAAGGTATCTTTTGTTAGTTATTAACACGTCTTCAGAACCATATCATACCAAACATCACTCACATTTCCTCATCTGTCAAAAAAATAAATTGTTTTTCCAAAAAAAAACCCCCCAATTTGCGTCTGTCCCAAAAAAATCTTTGCACAACACCAAGTGCCAGTTTGTTTTTTCTTTTTTAAAAATAAAAAAACAAAAACGTCTGATCAAACAGAAAAAGAAAAAAAGACGATTGGCAGGAAACTGCTGAGCAAGTGTTTATCATGAGGATGGTGGTGGTTATCGCCACTCGTCGTCACTCTAGTTTTAGAAAAAGAATAGATGGTTGTAGTTATTGTCATTCTAGTCGTGCTAATAAATATTTTTTACATTCTTAGTAATACTGTTACTATCTATGATGAGGATGCCTTTGATTTATCAAGTTATGCTTCTGATGAAGAGTTGGAAACGAACGCAAGACTATCTATTGAAAATTATGGTGAAAAATGGGTTGTTGGCAGGGTTGGAAAATGTGCGGTCCATTAATGGTCTATTGGTGGCCATTGGGTCCATTAGCGTAACACTTTAGCCATAATTAGTATTTTATGGACCAGTCAATTTGCCAACCCTGGTTGTTGGTGATTCTGGAAAAAAATGATCAAAAATAAAAATTTTTCTTATTTTTTTAAGAATAAGTCAGATAAAAAAAAATGTTTCGAAATATCGATGTTGCTTATATTTATTTTCTATTTTTTCTGTTTTTTTGTTGCAAATTCGTACTGTTGCTTACGTTGCTTATATTCCAGACAATACGGTAAATATTTTTTTTAATATATTGTTATTAAAAGCAAAGTTACTGAAATAAGTAAATAAGTATCAAATGAATCAAATGAATGAATAAACAAATGAATTATACAGCACTAATTAATAATAAAAATCATCTTACCATGCCAATAATTATTTTGCAAACTATTAAATAGTTAGTTTGCGGTTCACAACTAGTTATAGAGCTTCGCAATTCAAAAGGTTTCACCACAAGTCAAAACTAGTTTGACATATAACTTTTAATTTTAGTATTGACTTTTTTGCCTCTTCAAAATAGTTTTTGGCAACCAATGCTAATCACAACCAAGGTTTCTGGTCCAAACTATTTTCGAAAAAAAAAGAAAATTTAAATTACAATAGGTTGTTGATTTATGTAATTTTTTCATGCTCATTCATTCTTATAAAAATATCAGCCAAAAATTAAATTTTGCCCAGTATTTCAATAAGAAAGATATCTCAATGTTAATGGTTTTAATTCATTGTAAATTATGCAACGGACCAAAGCTCTTTATATTCTACCAATAGTCATTTAACTGATATTCAAAAGCTTGAATAAATTGTTTATTGACATCTTTAATGTATTTGAATATTTTAGTAAATTTATTATGAAAAAAAAGTTTTTTGTACAATTTATATATTTATATTATTATAATTTTAAAATCCCAAGCTTTGATGAATTTACTAATTCTATTTTGAAAGGTTTAATAAAATAACATCATGAAAACATTTATTATTAATTCTTTAATATACCATATGCCAGTTGACTCACATCCTCCTTTGCACTATGTCTTGTGGCATAAACCATTCCAGTGAACATATAATGGTTTACCGATAATTTAGCATAATAGCCACCATCAGCCAACCTATGATAGTCATATTCCGGTTTTCTCCAACGTCTCTTGGTTGCTAGCTCATGGATCAATGAAACGAATGTCTTGTCTACACGTAATATTGGTTTATGTGGCTCGTAACGTTGTTGTAGCCTTGCTGATCTTTCAACCGATGGTTTATACGGTTTGTAACGTTGTTGTGATCTTTCAACTGTTGGTTTAGTAATGGTGACAGTGACAGGAGGCTTACTAGTCTTATTATGACCATCCTCACTGAACATTGATGGATACAGTTGCGCTAGTGTTTTTGATGTTGTATATGTTATTTTTTCTACTTCATCATCACTATTATCATTTGGAACCTCTTCTTCAACTGGAACTCCAAGATCATTAGTTACATTTTTATATGATTCAGGTTGTGTAAATTTTTTCCTATCTTCCATAAAAATAACATTTCCAATTAACCTTTGATAGTCAAGATCCATTTTATCAATCAACTTCTTTTCTTCATATTCTATTTCTTCATAAAGGATCTCAAAAGCAATCATTGCGACATGATCCTTGGCATATTTATATTGAGCTTTATCAAATACTGATGTTGGGTTAAATCTTCTTTTCCCAACATCAACAACAATAAATTTAACGCTAGGATCTTCATCATGAATAGGTAGATTCTTAATTTCTTTGTATGTAACAGCTCCTAGATGGTATTTTTGAACTAGTTCGTGTAATAGAGTACGGGGACATGGTGGAAAATTTGGTTTTAATATTTCATCATACCATTTTTTAACATTTGGTATCATTTCTGTCCAATGTAATCCACTAGCCATTTGTTGAACTCCTTTTCCATATTTTTCTAATCTGGGTTGATATTTTGGCGTGAAAGCTTCAACCATGTATCTTTGAGTTCTTCGCAATTGTTCCGGGTATTTGCGTTGAAGGTAAATCATAGCTTGTTCTGCAACATCCCTTTTAGCGTTGCGTTTCTTCATGTGTTCCTGCCTAGTGCTCCATTTTTGATCATCAAATCTAAGAACACAATTAAATTTTAGTTCTTTGTTTTGAGTAGGTGTGAATCTTGGTTCAGTTTTGTATCTTAGATGTTGCTGGTATAAAGTGGTAATAACAGTCACAGGATTAAAATCGGTTTCATTTGTATTTGCTTGATTACTATTACTATTACTATTACTATTACTATTACCATTACTATTACTATTACTATTACTATTACCATTACCATTACTATTACTATTACCATTACCATTACTATTACCATTACCATTACTATTACTACTACTATTACTACTAACACTACTCATGTTTACTATTATTATTATTATTATTATTTTTTTTTTTTTTTTTCTTTTTTGTGGAAACAATATTTTTTATTTTTTTATTTTTTTTTGTGGAAACAATATGATTATTTATCTGTATAGGTTGTACGAGAGATTTTAACAAGAAGTGAATCACGTTCTAAAATTACCAAATTTTATTTTATATTATTTTTTTTGTCAAAAAAAAAAGATCTCTATTTGACTTTGGTTTTAGCTCTTCACTTCAAAAAAGGAAGCTTTATTTAATTGAAAGAAAAATAACCTTCAGTAAAGAAAGGAATAAATATGTTCAAAGTATTCAAATTTACTGAATAAAGATGATAATGATGATGGATTTATTTTTATTTGTCGGGTGACACACTACTAATTCTGCTATTATTAATACAAATAATGGAAATAGAAGAAATTTCTATTTCTAATCGAGAACAATACCGCGACCCAAAAATATTTTGAATTCGCGAAATAATGACGCGAAGAAAGCCTACTACTACCCAAATAGTGACTGTATTCGAATATTCACTTCCCTTAAAATCATCTGATGTAACATAAAAGTTTAAAGGGATTTTTGATGTGTAACACCAGGATCCGCAAATATGATAGTTATATGGTGCAAGTCACCTAGTCCCGCAACTTGCTGCGCCTCGTGGCCAATTTTGGGAAAATCACCAAAACTCAGAATTTGTAAGTTATGCTCAAAAATGCAATAAAATTTTATATCACGTGACCTTTAATGGTGATACAAATTAAAAAAAATATTTATATATTAATATATAACATTGCTAAAAAAAATTTCCTTCTTCATGTGAAGAAGCCAATGCTCCTGCAGAGAGCATTCTTTGAGAGCTTTGCCCTCAAAGAATTTTTGGACACCATACATTTTTCATATTAAAAAGATTAATTGT